AGGTATTGCTAGGTCCTGTACAGTGTAATATCACACTGCCTTTAGGAACAATGACAACACTATCATAATGACTAGCAGTTACTGAAGACTTGTGATGTGCAGGTGCCATGATACTGACACACCCATTTTACAGATGACGGATTGAAGCTCAGAGAGGTAAAGTAGCCCACTGAAGGCTCACAGCTGTCAATATGATTGTGCCCCGGAAGTCTTAGTTCTAAGCATTAAAGCATTAAAAACTTTAGAGGTTATAAAGCACAAAGCTACAAATTTATAAGAAACACAATTTCAGAGTTTACTTAAATCTTCTCTATGCTAATCTAGTTTAGTAAATTTTGGATAATAACTTTAATTTTATTCAGTCAATTTTTGCCATCTTCAAGAGGGTAAAAAAAGGAGCATTTAAATAATCAAACTATCAAATAGTATTTCTTGTAAATGTGTAGCTTTATACCTCTGAGGTTGTTAAAGCTTCACACTGCACTGAGACTTTCAGGATACCCTGTTATTTTAAGTCAGTTCGACTTCAAAGCCTGTGACAGTGTTCGACAGTGCGTTTGGGGTGGGGTGGCTTGTGCTGGGTAAAATGCTCCGGGGAAAAGATACATGATAGATAGCATACAGTGAGATCTCAGGTGGTTTAAGAGCCTGCAGAGAAGTGGAGCCCACTGGGAGCAGTGGCCATCCGAGAAGACAAAGGCGACATACATGATTGTATTCCCTTTCAGGTTCCTTTGTTGGGCTTGCCCTGCTTCTTGGATGGGAAGGTGACTAACTGTACAGGAAACAGTGACACCCCTCCCCTTCTGGAAAGCCAACAAGAAGTCAGCACACCCATAATTGTTAGTGCATATAATCCTCCATCAGCCCTGTGATGACAGCCTTGCCCGCTCCACCCCATACGTGAGGAAATCAAAGCGGGGAGAGTAACAAGGTCACTGTTAGGTTCACTAGCCCCAGCCCAGTCCAGCCAAGTCCTCTCTGGCCCCATATCCCAAGGGTGACCCCACGTTCCTGGCTAGTCAGTGTGTTCCTAGCCTGGGCCATGACAGATGGCATGAAGAAGTGGGGTGCGGACAAAGAGCAGGTGATTGGGGCTGGAGTGGAATTCCTGTTTGCCTGGCCAGGGCAAGCCTGGAGAGGATGGAGTGGGCCAGCCCCCCCAAACCCCCACACTTTGCCACCCACTGTTGAGGGCCTGCTTGAGAGATCCCTTGGGCCAGCCGTGCTCTGCCCGCTCTGTCATCTCCCAGTCCTGACACCTGTGGGTGTCTGCAGCTGGCCCTCTGCCCTCTGCTACAGCCTGCCTTGGTCCTTGCTCCTCTATGACACCTCCCGACAAGAGCGCCACAAGGCTCTGGATCTACAGGGTCCCCAGTCCTGAGAGCGGACCCAAGGCCCAAAGCACCCCAGCCTGGCGATCCTGGTGATGAGGAATGCAGGGCTGCAACACCTGAGCTGCGTCCCCAGCACCGAGAGGCAGGAGACTAATAGTAGCATAAGGAAGGACAGG